CAGCAGGACAGCTTAGGTTCTCTTGTGTGGTCAGTGAAGGAAGTCCAGGATAGGCATCATCTTTGGTCAGGCCAGTCAAGAGTTTGCAGTCACTGCATGGATCTGGACCTCACCCTCTTAAACCATCTGCAGACTGGGCTTGGCCTCAGCAGCCTAGTGCTGTGTCTCTTGCATACAGCTGAGAATTTCTTCTGTGGAGTCTGGCTTCCAGCCTGTGAAGCATGCTCAGTCTCTCTAGCTAGATCTTTGCTGCATGCAGGAGAAGAAGGCTCCACCGACTCCAGGATGGTCTCTGGCTGCCCAGCCTGTGTCCGTGCTCCAGCAGGCTGGGTCTTCCCAGCTCCTCCTTTGATTCCAGTCCTATATACCTTAGCCTCTTGCATGGTCTGCCTGATGGCATGAGGCTTGCATTGCATTGGCTGTACAGCCAGCTGAGCCCCAGTCTCTCCTGTGCCCTTTGGAAGGCTCTGGACTTCCTGTGCCCAGAAGAACTTTGGTTTTCTCTCTTGCAGCATCTTAGCAGGAGCCTGGGCCCCATCCATGCCTTGTGATACTGCTCCAGTCTGTGCTTTTATCTGGGCCACAGGCTGGACGTCCTGTGGAGACTGAGTATTCATTGTGGGAGAACGGGTCTTCCTAATCCATCCAGAAGCCTCCTGTTTGGTAGGTGCAACAGGATGCACCTTACTGGCTCCTGTCTCAGCCTTCTGCTCTTTAGCATCCTCACATGGTTCACACACCTCTGTCTTCTGACTAGCTTTGTTCCCCATGGAGAAGGTCTGTAGAAGCAGCCCAGCTAGAAACCTACTCTGAAGTTAGTTCAGCAGTTTACGATGGACTCTTTAGTGGGGTAAGAAAGAGGAGCAAGAAGCCACCTGTAAACCATTAAGAGAGATTTATTAGAGCACATCATCTCTGCAAGCTGACTTATACCCAGAACAGAGGCACAGACACTAGTTCCTGGCCTCTCTTGGCAGGGTGGCTGCACCATCAGGACACAGCTGCTGCTGAGCGACCACTATTCAGTGTGGTATGGTATGGATATAGAATAAAATCCAGTCTCTCAAGTGACCAAATCCAAATAGCTGGTTCTGGTATTCATGTACTGAGAGCAACTGGGAAAGGATTTTTTTTTTTTTTTTTTTGGGGGGGGGGGGGGGAAATAGTCTTTACTCATCCTATTCCCCAAGCCATTTCCTGTTCCTCCCTTTTGTTGTTTTCCAGGGGACTTTCAAAACCTCTGTAAGTAGCTAGGATGTTTGTCAGGAGTTCCTCACCAAAAGAAAGGGGTGGGGGTGCCCAACACTTTCTATTCCTGCCACAAATAGCACCTCTTAACATAATTAAAGAGCACATACTAATGTGTTTGCTCAGCTGTAATGTGATTTTCAAGCAGATTTGAAAAAGCAACCCCTCCCCCCCCCCCCAAAAAACAAAACAAAACACAAACTTATTTTCAGTTTACATTACAAAGGGGCTCTTACATAAAGAAATGTTAGGGTTTGTTTTTTTAAAATCATTGAGTGGAGGCCTTTAATTATTAACAATCTCCAGCTGCATCTCAGGCAGATAAAAGAGTTTATTCCAACTATTCAGGCAAATAGAAAGGCACATTTCTATTAGAGAAAAAAAATGAACAGGTATTTTTAGAGTCTTATTTGAACTTGAACAACAGAGACTTAGTTCCTCTCTCTCAGAAGTATAGAAGAGGAGGGCTAGGAGGGACCTCCAGGAATTACCTAGTCCAGCCTCCTACTAGAGGCAGGATCATCTCTATCCAAGCCACCTATGCAAATTAATATTGTCCAGCCTATTAGTAAAGCTACAGAGAGTCAGTCCTCGCACAGCCACAAGACATAACACCCTAGCCTGCCAGAGAAGAAGGGGGACACTGTCTTGTTGTTAAAGATACAGACGCGTCTAATGACTATTTTTCTGGCACATGCAACAAAGGATGTTAGCCTTAAAAAGAAGTGTACAGCAGGCTTTGCTTCACTGCTCTGAGCAGAAGACAACAGTGGAGGACCCCAGGAGCACCAGCACCCTAGGATAGGATCCAACTCAGCAGTGCCTTTCATCTAGGAATGGAAGGAAGAATCAGTCCCATCACATGCAAACATACATCTTGGACACCAACTAAAAACCACACCCAGAAACCCACATCCACAGCCATTGACCAACTTCAGTTGAATTTATCATGCTGTAATCTAAAAAAAAAAGGAATACACCTGAACAGCAGCAGACAGCTTACATATA